GGGGGCGTTGGTCGATGTTGGGCGAGAAATTGTGGGGTCGAGGGTTCCAAGAACAGAGCCCATGGGCTTGGGGGTGCCGGAACCAAGTGGGGAGGGGGGAGGGGAGGGGAACGGCGGGGAAGAGGGCGTTGGTCGATTTGGGGGGAGAAATTATGGGGCCGGGGGTCTCAAGAACAGAGCCCATGGGCCTGGGGGTGTCGGGACCAAGTGGGGGGCGGTGAGGGGGGCGTTGGTGGATTTTGGGCGAGAAAAATCGTGGGGTAGGGGTCCCAAGAAACGGAGCCCGATGGGCAGGGGGAGTGTCGGGACCAAGGGTGGGGAGCGTGGGGGGGGGCGTTGTCGTTGTTGGGCGAGAAAGTGTAGCGGTCGAGGGTTTCCAAGTGCGGATCCCATGGGCTTGGGGGTGCCGGGACCAAGTGGGGAGGGGGGGGGAGGGGGAGCGGCGGGGAGGGAGGCGTTGGTCGATTTGTGGCGAGAAATCGTGGGGTCGGGTGTCCCAAGAACAGAGCCCAGAGGCTTGGGGGTGTCGGGACAAAGTGGGGCGCGGGGAGGGGAGCGTTGGTCGATTTTGGGCGAAAAATCGTAAGGTCGGGGGTCCCAAGATCAGAGCCTACGGGCTTGGGGGTGTCGGGACCTAGTGGGGGGCGGTGAGGGAGCGTTGGTCGATTTTGGGCGAAGATAATTCGTGAGGTTCGGGGGTTCCAAGAACAGAGCCCATGGGCTTGGGGGTGTCGGGACCAAGTGGGGGGCGGGGAGGGAGGGGGCGTTGGTCGATGTTGGGCGAGAAATTGTGGGGTCGAGGGTCCCAAGAACAGAGCCCATGGGCTTGGAGGTGCCGGGACCAAGTGGAGAGGGGGGGGAAGGGAGCGGCGGGGAGGGGGGCGTTGGTCGATTTGTGGCGAGAAATTGTGGGGTCGGGGGTCTCAAGAACAGAGCCCATGGGCCTGGGGGTGCGGACAAGTGGGGGGCGGGGAGGAGGGCGTTGGTCGATTTTGGGCGAGAAATCGTGGGGTCGGGGGTTCCAAGAACAGAGCCCATGGGCTTGGGGGTGTCGGGACCAAGTGGGGGGCGGGGAGGGGAGCGTTGGGCTTGGGGGTGTCGGGACCAAAGTGGGAGAGCGGGGAGGGGGGCGTTGCGTGATGGAGGCGTGGTGGGGGGGTGTTGGTAGGTTTCGGGCAAGTTTCGGGCGAGCTCCCTCGGGCAAGTTTCGGGCGAGCTCCCTCGGGGGAGGGGTTCCGAGGCCTTACACAAAGGATATCGCACACGCCTCTAGGGGTCGGCGGATCTACGGGTTCCTTGTCCAATGCTTTCTCCGTCTTGGAAAGAACTCGCCATCCACTCGCGGCTCAGGACAGTTGGAAGCCGAGTGTGCACCGCGCCAGCGCGAGGGTCCCGTTTTGAAAACGACTCGCATCTGTTTGTTCGGATGTGTAACACGGTGGTTTGCGGCGCCAGCGAAGCGAGAGCCCGTCTTGGAAAGAACTCGCCATCCACTCGCGGCTCAGGACAGTTGGAAGCCGAGTGTGCACCGCGCCAGCGCGAGGGTCCCGTTTTGAAAACGACTCGCATCTGTTTGTTCGGATGTGTAACACGGTGGTTTGCGGCGCCAGCGAAGCGAGAGCCCCATTGTGAAAACCGTTTGTGGGCCACGCGTCAACGCGATCTGAATACATATGTTCCTCGAGTCCTCCCGCGGCGAGGACGATGAAGATGAGCATGTGGACGCTATTGCTTCTGGTGGCGACGGCGAGGCTGGGAGCGTTTGGGGATGAATTGTAGCGTCTTGGGGCGTCTGGGAGCGCCTGGGGCAGTTTGGGGAACGCTTGGGTCCAGAATCGGAATCGGCGATGGGGCGCCCGAAACGCATCGAATTATAATGTGCTTGCGATCGGTGGATTGATTTGTTCTGCGTTCTTGTTCCCAGGAACTCTTCGGGGCCAGCGGGTGGGCCGATGCTGAAGACCAGATGATGCGCACAGAAAGTTATGTGTGCAGATGATGGTGAGGGTTAGGTCAGATGGATGTGCACCAGGTGTTTGTAGCATCGGATGATGGGAGTTGGATCGGATGATCGCGTACCGAATACCTTTTGAGCATAGGATAATGAAAATTGGGTAAGTATGTATGCACACCGGAGTTTTCATCGGATGGTGGGGGCTCGGCCGGATGAATGTGCACCGAATCTGTTTTTGCATGAAACATTAAGGGTTGGGGTGTACGGCTGTGCGACGAATCTCAGTTTTATTCCAAACTATGATGAAGGTTGGGTCGTGTGGATATGAGCAGACTTTGAACATGTTGCATACGATGGTGAGTATGGGGTCGGATGAATGTGTACCGGATATGTTTTGCGCGGCGATAGGCTAGAGCCAAATGTTGAAAACGAACCAGCACCCATGGCTACAAGTTTGTACAACGAATGTGCGCGGCGCTATACCGAGAGTCACAGTTTGAAAACCACCCGCCCTCCATCCGCAAAACTCTTGCAAGTTTTTAAGATGAGCGCGCGCGTCGCTACGGCGGGAGCCACAGTTTGAGAACCACCTGGGCTCCATCCTTGAAGCGGTTGCCAGCGGCGGACGAGGACAGAGTACGAGGACGAGGACGAAGACGCGCACGAGCACGAGGACGAGACGAGGGTGGAGAGCAGGGAGGAAGAGGAGGGCTTAGGGCAGCAGGAACGCAGGCGAAGGGGGGGCCAAGGGGCGCCGGCGACCTGGGCGCGTGCCGCCGGCGGGTGGGCGCGCCCAGGGCGCCCGAGATCTGCAGGGCCAGGCACTTCAGGGGCAGCGACAGGGGGGGGGATAGGCACAGGTCAAGCAGTGGCGAAGCGTCCCGGCGTGCCTGTGGCCCTACCAAGCAATGTTCTGAGAACCTTTTGTGGTTCCTGCGAAATGTTCTTAGAACATTTCTGGTTGGGAGTGTCTTGTTTTCTCACATCGGGTTCATGCTTTCTAAGGACATTGTTTCTGTTTTGAGAACGTTTTTAGGTTCTGAGAAAATTTCGTGGTAGGACTATAGGAATGCCAGGACGGTCGGTCCCTGCTCAAATAGGGGGGGATGCATCGACCCCCAATCGCCCATGAATCGCCCACAGCGGCCCGACAGCCCCAACCTGCCCAGCAAGGGGGGCGGACTCACCTCTCGGAGGCCCACCTCGCCGACCTGTCGGCGAGGCGTCTCGCCGATGCCGGGTCGATGCGAGTCCCCCCCGTGCCAGCCTCTATCGCTGCCCCTCGGCTCGGGGGAGGCGGGCGCCGCGCTGCTGTGTTCGCCGGGCGCCGGGCGCTGCCACGGGCGCGCCCGAGCGGGCGAGCCCCTCGGAGCGAGACTCGACGAACAGAGAACGGCCTTAGTTTTCTCGATGCGCCCGTACTGAAACGCAACACGTCCCGTGTTCCAGACGTCCGTGTCAGTGCGTTGCGTGTTGACTCCACGTAGTGGCCCACGCTTTGGCGAACGTATCGGGTCGGACCTACGTTTCCAGTCCACGTGTTGAGCTCCGTATCAGTAATTACGCCACGTGTTGCGTGTTGCGTATCGGGGCAGCTAAGAGAACGGCATACACATGATTCCAGGTCCGCACGGAGGTCATGGATCGGCGCTGGGCCCCCTGGCGGTGCCTGGCGCGCTCCGCGCGCACAAGAGGGTGGCCCAGCGCGGATCCAGGCAATCCGCGCGGACCTCCGAGGAATCATGTGTATGCAGGTTCTTGGTCCTCTAGAGAGATGGGGATGGCGATGGCGATAGGCCAGAGCCACGATTTATCAGGGCAGGGAAGGCGGTCATGAATAACTCCTGATTTGGGACTCTCGCTTTCGCTCCTTAATTGCCCCGGGTTATTCACGACTCGAGTTCACCGCGATCACAGTCTGCCCCATGTGGATTTTGTCTAGCACTCCTGAAACAGGAATTATCCCGCATCAAAGGGGTTCCAGGGTTTCCCAGATCACACTTGGGGACACCAGACAGGGTTCTACCTGGACCAGGCCTATCCAGGAGAATGCGGGTGCCCCAATGAGAGAAGCGTCAGGGGCAGCGCTAGGCATGGGACAGGCTCAGGGGGAGATGCATGGATCCGCATTCGCCCACTCATGGCTGAGAGGGGCAAGATCGTTCACCCCGCCGAGGCGTGCGGTTTCGCTGCCAGCGGCGCATCGCCGATCAGTCGGCGATGCATCGCCGATTCTGGCTCGACTCTCCGGCCCCCCCAGGGCCAGAGCGCCCCCTCCTATCGTTCCCCTTCGGCGCTCTGGCCCAGTGCGCCCGCCTGGGGGCCCGCGAATGGGGAGCCGGCGGAGGCGCAGCGGAGGCGCTGTGCTTTTGTTTCCGCCCGAGCTCCTTCGGCGCTGCTATGGGAGCGCCCGAGCTGGCGAGCCCATGGGAGTGAGGAGGGGGGCGGGGGGGAAGTGGGCTGACGATGGGAGGAGGGGGTCTAGACGTGCTCGCGTCGTGAAGGAATCGAGACGAAGGTTTTGTGGTTGCCATTTTCCACCTCTGGGGGCCGTTGCAAAGGCTCCGGGGCGGTCAAAAGACGTTTCGGGAGGAGACCCGACAGCCTTGGGGAAAGAAGGTCGGGGACGTCCGGAAACCCCGCATGGAAGAAGAAACAAGGCATATCAGATGTCTGGGGAGGGTGAGGCGGAGGAGGAGGAGGGATAAAAGTATAGAGGAGGAAAGGAGTAGGAGGAGGAGGCGGCGGAGAAGGAGGAGGGATAAATGTATGGAGAAGGAAAGGAGGAGGAGGCGGCGGAGGAGGAGCGATAAAAGTATGGAGGAGGAAAGGAGGAGGAGGAGGAGGAGGAGGAGGATACGACGCTGGCTGGCGGACGCCGCGCACCGTCAGAGGACAAGGAGGAGGAGGAGGTAGGGAGGAGGGGCAAGGGGCAGGAGAGGTGACCACAAAGAAAAACCAGGGCCCTCCCCAGTGACGGGCGTAGCACTTCACTCTTTGAGGCCCCACGAAACGATGCTGGTCGATCGTTTCAATGGAGCGAGATCATGAACACCGAAACACAACGTTCAAGCAGGTTCGTATGGCACGCGGGGCACACGTGCAATCATGGGCAACGCGAGATTGAACACATGGTTTCCGAAAAAGTTATACGGGATCCAAGAGCAGACCTAACGAGCCATCAAGGGAACACAATGGCATTGAATGAAGACGCAAGGCTCTCTTAGGAGATCGACAGAGAGATCTTGAAAACCCTTTTATTGGAAGCCAAAGGGTTCTGCCGTCCCTCCGGCCTCTCCTCCTCTCTCATGATTAATATTGGCTGCCGATTGGTTATCCGTAAGGGCTTCGCCCCCTGCCGCTGGCCCCCTCTCTCGGATAATGGGCAATGCAAGAGCGAAGTCATGACGCCTTGGCGCCGCCGTGAAGCAGCGTCGGGACTTCACGCGAAGACGATGACTAATCGGCAAGACAGATTGAGATTCTGATGATATTGTTGAATTCGGTGTTGCATTTCGAGCTTGCTATGCTGTACAAAAAGCTGTTCTACTAAGTATTAACATGTTGCAGGTCCCATTGTTTGTTCGACCCTGACCCCACCGATCTGCGTGAGGGGTGCCGCCGAATTTCAGAAATGTGGCAAATCCTACTGTTTTTTCGACCCTGACCCCGCCGATCTGCGTGAGGGGTGCCGCCGAATTTCAGAAATGTAGCAAATCCCGTTTGTTGTTCGACCCTGACTCCGACTATCTGCGTGAGGTGTGCCGCCGAATTTCAGAAATGTGGCAAATCCCATCGGTTCTTCGGTCCTGACTCCGCCGATCTGCGTGAGGGGTGCAGCCGAATTTCAGACATGTCGCAAATCCCATGGGTTTCTCGACCCTGACCGCACCGATCTGCGTGAGGGGTGCCGCCGAATTTCAGAAATGCGGCAAATCCCATTGGTTTCTCGACCCTGACCCCGCCGATCTGTGTGAGGTGTGCCGCCGAATTTCAGACATTTGGCAAATCCCATTGGTTTCTCGACCCTGACCCCGCCGATCTGAGTGAGGGGTGCCGCCGAACTTTAGAAATGTCGCAAATCCCATTGGTTTTTCGACCCTGACTCCGCCAATGTTGTAAGGGGTGCCGCCAGATTTCAGAAATGTGGCAAAACCTGTTGGTGTTTCGACCCTGATTCCGCCGATCTGCGTGAGGGGTGCCGCCGAATTTCAGGAATGTGGCAAATCCCATGTGTTTTTGAACCCTGACCCCGCCGATCTGGGTGAGTGGTGTTAATTTCGACCCCCCCAGAGATTTTGAGAACCCTTCCAGGAGACGCCAGGTTTGCTGGTTTTCGGCTCCCCCCCTTCGCGCGGTCTACAACAAGGAACAGCAAGCAGCATAAAGCAATTCTGTAACAGTGGAAACTGGAAACTGGAACTGGCGCAGGGGACAGCAAACCCTCAGCCTACAGCCTGGTGGCCCCACAAGGGGGCCGGCGGATAAAAACTAATAAAAAAACGTGTTGGACGTTGGGGGTGGCGAAACACTTTCGGTGGAGACGTTCACTTTTCCAATCGTCCCTCCCCGGCGACCCTCCAAAAGCGCGCAACGAATCTGTTTTCCTATTCGTCTTCCCCCCTTCCTTCCCCCGAAGTCGCCGCACGCAAGGCCTCCATAATTTCACCGCAGCCCTTGAGGGGCTGCGGTGAAATTTTGGAGGCCTTGCGATGGCGATGTGAGCTCACTTAACCGTGCGGCTCCCAGAAGCCTTGACGGCCACATGAGGCGTTCCAAAAAATGCCTTGCCTTCGAGGATAGAAAGAGTTGTCATGTCTTCCGCCGCGGAAGGCGGCGGAAGGTCGGCGGAAGTAAAACGAGGCCGCCTCCGCCGGCGGAAGCCGGGGGAAGCTCGGCGGAAGGCGGCGGAAGTTCGGCGGAAGGCGGCGGAAGTAAAAAATGCGTCCCCAAAAGATGAAACGTTTTTGGGTTCAGGGTTTCCGAAATCCGCCACATAGGCCCCGAGGCTCACGCAGGTTTGCGACAAACGCAGGCATCGCGGCGCCCATTCGCCCATCGGCCTTGCAATGCACGCAGGCCGTGCGGCGCACACGGGCCCCGTGATGTTCGCAGCAGGCCCCGCGGTGCATACAGGCCTGGCCGCGCCGCCCCTGGAGCAGACACTCGCACGACTCCGGAATGGAGCCTGGGCCGCTGCACCGGCGCGAAGACCAGCATGATCTGAACGCCCCACTTGCCCGCAGTTCTCGTGGGCGACAAAGAGGGGAGTGATGACAAGGGGGGGATGAATATCATGGCGGGGGCCATGATATCCCCCCAGATGTCATGGCGCTTCTTATTTCAAAACGTCCCTGGCCCCCCCCCCCCGTGGGCCGCGCACGTGCCGCCGGCCGTGATTTGCGCCCCCCCCTCTTAGACGCCCCCCTATTGGCCGCCCCCGAAGTCCCCTCTCTGCGGCAGCCCTCGCGCAGGCATCCTGCAGGCATCGGCGCTTGCGTCCTACCGTCGCGGACGGCGCGCGCGCTGTCACCCCGCCCTCCCGCTCGTGGGGGTACTTGCATCCCTGGCGCCCCTCTCGTCGGTTCAAACTGGCGCAGCCGGGCTGGGCGGCGCTGGGGTACCTCACCCTTTGTCAAAAGGGCGCGGGCCCCCGCGGTGTGCAATTCGCACTTTTGCATCCCAGCCTCGGCTCCCCCGCGCCGAGCGCTCGCCAGCGCCGCGAAAAGCAAAAGACATGTAGACAGGCCTTGTGGAGCCAGAGGTTTTTTTCAGAGGCGCCAAAACGGTTCATCTGAGGCACGGTGCAAGCCCCCGAGAGGCTCCACGAGAGGCCTTTCACAAGCGTCTATTAGGCGCGCTGCGGCGTCCGCTCACACGTCTCTGAGCGTGTTCGAAGCCGCACGTCATGTTGACAATACAGATGGCACGCGCTAAAGGCTCACTTGGGTTTTCAGTCCAACTCGGCGACCATTCCTTTCCGACGACACACGCCGCAATCCAGCATGGGCCTGCAGAGTGGGCCAGCGCTAACTCGCGCGGCGACGCCCATAGAGGGCGAGCCACCGCTGCCGCTCACGCGGCGGCGCCCGCTCTTCTAGAGCCCCTGGCGTTGCGTCTGCATGCTTTTGTCCGGACGAAACGTCAAGACTGATGGATGAGGACGCGAGCGAGCTTCCATTCACCACCACCGCCACCCCTCACGCAGGTTGACAAACGCGCCGTCCGCAGAGTCGCTGGACTTCGGCGAGGAGTGGGAGTCAGGTGAGCTCAGCATCGCGCCGCACTGCGGCCGTCGAGCAGCGGTACTTGAGAATAAGCGCGCGTCGATTGCAGAGCGCGGTCGCTCCGTTACGTTGGGGCCGGTGGACAAGCAAAATTCACAAGTTTCACGATACGACCTTCCCCGTCGCGCACGCACTCATGCACGCACGCACGCACGCACGCACGCACGCACGAACACACACACACACACACAAACACACACACACACACACACACACACACGCACACACAGACACGCACACGCACACAGACACAGACACAGACACAGACACAGACACAGACCCGGACACAGACACAGACACAGACACGGACACAGACACACACACACACACACACACACACACACAGACACACACACACACACACACACACACACACACACACACATCGCGGCCTCGCGCGCAGCGACGAAGCGGAGTATGTCGAAGCGCGGCAGGAGCGGGCACGCGTTGCCGGGACCTCAGGCGGGATCGTCTGGAGCGCCGCGCGTGCCACCTTCAAAAAATAGGCAGCGCGTAGCCATCCGGGCGGGGATGGCGAGGAGGAGAAAGACATTGCCCGCCACGGGAGCGCCCCAGGCGGAGGTCGCGCCCCCCCTCCCACACGAACACACAGACAGACAGAAACAGACAGACACAG